CCAAATGGGATTTAGTACGAGTTCTCTGTTGATGATAATGAACTTTCTTCAGTGCATGCTGTTGTTTGTGACAGTGAATACAAATGATTTTATTGACAATGGCTAGCATTTCATGCATGAAACATTCGAGAATCAACTTATTGTGAGTATCAAGGTAGACCACAATTTCAAGAATTCATGGACATCGAAACTATTCAATGAAGCGACTGGCTGTGTAACAGAACAAAACCAATGAAGCAAGTGATTCTGAATATCAACGTAGGACAAAATGTAAGATTCGCGAACATTTCGACATAAACACATTTGAAGTCACAGCCCGCATACAAAAAGGAAGAGTTATGTGTCTCAAAGTCTAATGACAAGACGGTGAATAGCGCAAAAGTGAAGAAAAACGGACTACGGGGCATAAGGCTGTTTCGGTCACATGAACATGGCTGGGTGGTTAAGGGGTAAGCCTCACGTATGCAGGTCGAGGTTTGAACTTTTGATGCATGTACCCTTTCCATTTTTCCAACGTGGACTCTGTGCCCTCGAAAACATTTCACACAACTATGTGGGTCGCATAAACAGATCTTCAACGCGAGCTCTCGATGCAAGCATCCGTGCGTTGAAAGTACAAATCGTCATGGTTTCGGGCACTTTGATCTCCTTTGGCCCTGAGATTTTTGCAACCTTCCCGAGCGGTCCCACTGAACGCCGTGTTGCCGTTGCTGTTGCCTCAGGTTCAGTGGAATGAGGCTCACAGTTGTTACTGTTTTTGACGCATGACTTGACCACAGCTTGTCAGGCTCTAACACGGTACCTTCCGCATAAGCCACTGGTACCATTACACCCCGTTGAGGTTGCGGACAGGATTCACGGGGGCGGGAGAATACCTAAAGAAAAGGGGAACAGAAAAAACTTAAATTGAGTCGGGAAGCTCTCGATCTTTTGTGAGTGCCACAAGAGCCTTCCTGTGCATACGATACCGCTAACGGTTTGTGGAACATTGACAGGGTAATCTGCCAGAGAAGCCGCACTGTCATAACTGCGTTCAAAGTGGGTGAAATGGAAGGGCGTGAACACCACTAGCTTCCGATGAGTGTGTTGCCGA